ATGTTTTACTCCTATAGTATTATTTATCATTGGTCATACAATTATACACTTCATGAAACACTTCATAAATTATTTGGAAATTTAATTCATTTTTATCGATTACCTTCAGATGTCATTTTCAAATTCATAATTTTAATTTTAATATGAGTTAAATTGTATATTAAGTCTCAGGTTTCGCCACTGAGTGTTTAATTTCAAAACAGCACGTGTATTTTTTGAAGGGCAGCAACTTTCTTGAAATATAAGGAATTCTTTGGCCCCTCTTAATTTCGAAATGTTTTGATTAAATTGTACACGATTTTTAACATAAACAGATTTAATTATATTTGTGTTATTTTCAAATCAATGTATAGTTTAATATTGACGTCATAAAAATACATAATAATAAGACTATGAACAAAACATTTATTAAGAATGATTATTAAACAATTATTTGACAAAATATATAAAATTATTTGGATAATATATCATAAAACATAATTTCTATAAAATAAAGTTCGAGGACTTTAAAGTAACATATTATGATTACTATGTGATAGATTGGCCGCAAGTTCAGTTTAGTCAGATTATATAAGCAGTATATATAAGTAATAATCAAATAACAATGGTTAAAGAATTAAACACATAATTTAATTACGTAACGGCTTAAATGGTAAAAAAATGTAATTTAATAATATTATTGATTTAAGTTGGTGAAAAATTCTAATGAGTAATGACAGTTACATATTTAATAAATTCATTTTTTAATAATAAAATTATCATTCTATAATTACATTTATAAAATTAAACCAATAACTCAAAAGGGGATTAATTCAACAATACTAGTAATGAATAAAAATCAGTACATATATTATTTTATACATTTCATAATATTAAATTACTATGTAAAGTATTAACCAATAATATTATTTATACGAACTCTATTGACATCCTTTTTGAAAACTTTGTTATAAATTATACTGGTAGATCGCGCACAAACAATACTTAAACAGACCAATAATTTACTTGATTGAAAAATAATTGTGTTTAATTTAGATTATGAATAATCTAAAAATCTATTTATATGAATAAAATTTATGACAAATTTATCAATTATTATTTTTTTTTTTTTTTAACTTTTATTTACTTTTTTATAAATTGCAATTCTTATTACTTTTACCGGAATTTATTTTAAATAGTGAAATGTACCTACTGTTTTAAATAATTTATAAATATTATTTATTAGACATTTAGAGATACTTATTAGTAAGTTATTACATAAACTAATAGTAATATTTAATTACTTTTAATTAGAAAGGTAAGCGGAAGACAAAAAATTGAGTATAACAGAAAAATTTAAAGCACTTGGAAAAGAAAAAAGCTAAGTAAACAAAAGAAGTTAAATGGTAGTCTAATTCAAATTGTGTAAAAGTACAAAATTTAAGTGAAACTAAAATAAGTTCTCAATATGACGAAAAATACGTCAAAATTAGTCCAAGGAAAATAAATTTAATACTATAGACTTAACAGTATTGTATCATTTGAATTGACTTGTGCATTAAATAGGGCTAAATTAAATGAGAAAAATGCCACATAAGTTTTGTCTTCGGTAGCATTATCGTCAGAAATCGCTCCCAAACAACTTGCCATAAATAAAGAATCAATTCAAAAACAACGTCTTTTTTATCATAAAATATCAAAAGAAATGCATAAATTACTCCCGGCATTTTCTTCAAAAAAGTTTGTAAACCGTTTAACAGTACTTATTTCGAAAGAAAATGTAACTAAACTCTTGGGAATACTCTCTATACTTAATAGTTAATAGTACACGTCGAGCACAAACTGAAGCCGTTTATAATATTCTTGACGATTATAATTGATTTGATGATAATTTATTATAATATATTTCAACACTACATCTAATAACACGGGTATAAAACCAGGTTGTTGTACAGTATTAGAAAAAAAACTAAATGAAGATCTATTGAATTTAGCTTGCAGAGCTAAATGGGGCTTATGTTGTAAAAGTTTATAACACATTAATGGGTGCATTGGCTAGCCCAAATATTTTATTATTTCAAAGATTGTCTTATTCTTGGACGAACATCGATTAAACTAAATTAAGAGGAATCAAAAATCCATATATTAATTTGACATTATCACCACAATAATATAATTTGATTACATTGTTATGTGAAAAAAATTAAACGAATTTCAACCTAGAGATGATTATAAATGGCTAATTCAACTATCACATTTTCTTTTGGTATTATTCCACAAAAAAAAAAAAAAAAATGTAAATATAATAACTCTAAGAACGTACCATATGGCTAGATGGATGGCTGAACTGATATATATTATTGTCTAAAAATGTACATGTTTCATTCTCAGCATGTATGTAAAATATTGGTTCACTGCTCAGTCTGCAACATAAACTTCAAGAAATGATTCAAATTTCATTAACGAACTAATAGAATATAAAAATTGCTGAAATAGCGATTAATAGTTTATCTACACATAGTTGGTATCTCAGTGAAACATTGGTTGACTTAGCATTTTTGGATAACAAAGTCTCTATAGAAGAAAAAGATAAAAAAAACCTCTCATGCGAATTAAGTTGGACGAACGTAGTATACCAAACATACAATTATCAAACTTTGTTATAAATAATTCAAAAAAAAATTTTGAAGCACTTAATTCATCTTACACTTTTGTTTAAAGTAGTTACATGGGAAAAAGACGAGAAATATAACAAACTGAAAATAATATATATATTCATACACAGTAATTTATCATTGAATTCAAATTGACCACATCTATTGCAGTAACTTACTCAATGACGAGATAAAATCGATTCCTACTGCTTAGCTACAGTACAGTAGAGCAGTTACGTAAATCCCATTTTTTAAGTATAAATATTATCTGTACTTAATGATCAATAACTATACTGCATTATATAAGGACCATATATATAAAAATAATATATGTATATAGGATTTTGTATTAAATTTTAAAATTAATTTTTTGATATAAAATTATATAATTACACAGATTACACTTATTTCAAAAAATATCCATCAATCAAGAGATATGACTGACTATAATAATTAAAAAATTATAATCTTTCACAGTTTATGGTATTTCTTGGAAAATCATAGAACGGAATACTCGTAAGAATCTTTACCAAGAAGTTACGTGTACGTAAACCCTACCTAATTCCAAGTTAAATGCATGTAACAATATATTGGATTAGATTAATAATAATATTTTTTAATGGCAGCCATCTAATTAATCAAATAATAAATTACATTATTTCATTAATAAAATTCTCAAAATGATAAAATATAAATATATTATACTATACTATACTATAATTACTCACAATAAAATCTTTAAATTTAATTCACACTATTTTTCACAGTAAAATTCTCGAAAATACACTTGTTATTTATCCGAATATCAATTATCATAAATTTAATTCTTATTATTTTTCCACCCCAAAATAATTATTTAATAATTTATTACTCAATTATTAGCTTTAATTATTTATTTTCAAAATATTTTATTTGTACGCATAAATAATATATATATATATGTTTACACTTCACATAAAATTATACTATGTGTTTATGTACACATAGTAACATAGGAGATTAATCATTTATACGTATTCTATTTAATACTTACACGAGTAAGTTAGAAATTAAAATATTCTCCATTTTCTTTAATAAAACAACTTTTAGTATATAAACAGATTAAAAATCAGGGTAGATTCATTGAAATCGATGAAAAGATGATTAATCTTCTCAATAGTGATTTAAATGAATTTGTCTCCCAAAATTTTCGAAGAAGAATTCAAAAATTCACAAAAATGTCTTAAAATTTAAATTATTAATTCCATGATTCGGTACTATTAAAACAAAATAATATTTACTGATGTATTAGTTACTGAATATTACTAATTTTTTATTTATTTTTTTTTTTGAATAAAAAAATTAAAACTTGCCTAAATTGATTAAAAATTATTAATTTAAACTTCAGGTGAACCAAAAATAAAAAATAAATATTATATTACGAATGGCGATATCATATCAACCTAATTTCAATATTAACCGGTCGTTGGTGACACTATGAGTATTTTGCTCACACATTTAGTATTTTTAGAACCATTGGTTTATATTTCATTCGATTTTGACAATATTATATAAATGCTTCATTGAGTTATTCACGAAAACAAATACGGAAAAACATTAAATGTTATAAATAAACTAACAAAGTTATTGAAGTCCAATGTTGCCGTACATGTAATAATAACGTATAATATTATGTTAGCGTTGTCGTTGTGCTCGCACGTCACTGATCGCATTACCAATATTACCATATTATCTAGTTATTTTATTATTATATTATTATATTATCTAGTTATTTTATTATTATATTATTATATTATCTAGTTATTTTATTATTATATTATTATATTATTTAGTTATTTTATTATTATATTATTATATTGTTTTATTATTATGCTTTAGCAGTTCAATATTGATATTTATCAATACCGAAATATATAAATTTGTAGGCTCATACGTGTATTTTAATAGGTGAGCATTTCGCTAATACATCACTATCGGTGCTATAAATCAACGACGGGTTAAATAATAATAATCATGTTAACAATACAGAACACTTGCCCACATATATTAAACGTGTTAAACATTGACAACAAATTTAAAATTATTAATCATATTTTATATTATACACACACACATATATATAATACATTTTTATAAAATCTGATTTTTAGAATTTATTATATTTATTCATTTGTACAAAATGTTTGAATTGTTAATTATTGGTTGGCAATATCTATTCCCGACAGTGTTGGATACTTGGATAGTACTATGATTCAATATAAAATAAAATATCATATTAGTAACACAGTAATCATTTAATTACATTATAATTCAATTAACTTATAAATTGCGATACCACATTATTTATAATAATACCAATTATTTATTACAAAAACTATGAAACTCTAGAAAAATTAAAAAAAAAAAGAAGTATTTCAAACAAATTATTGTGGAGTTCAAATTATGTGTCAATTCAAAAACGTATTTTACTACCGTGAAAAATAATTCAGATTAAAAATAAATAATAATACCAGTAAGTAAAATTCAAATTTTATTAATAATGGGTTGTAATTCTTTTAATGCATATTTACAGTTTATTTATACTTTATAGAATCTATAATTTAATTTTTGCTAAAATTAAGTATTAAATTTTAATCAATGATCAACCATCACGAAATTTAAAGTAAAAATAGGCAATAGCTTAAAATTAATATAAATGTTTTGAAAACGACATTGTGTTTATAAAACAAAATAATATTTAAAGAGTTTAAGTCCACATCAATAATATTTTTGAATTGAAACAAAATAATTAATATTGGTATTTTTTTATTTAAATTTCCTTCAAAAACAAAATCTAAATTTTTTTTTGCAAAAATAAAATATTCTCTTACTATATACAAACTTTTGATAAATCTTTAGATTTTTAAATATTAGAATAATTACTTACGAGATAACTTCTATATATTTTATAAATTTTTGACTGAGCGAAAAATTTTATTAACAATTATTAAAAAAAAAAAAAATGTTTAATTCCTATAAATAGCTCAAAAAGAGCCAAAATTTCATTAAAATTATATAAAAAATACTTGTATAAAATTTCAACATCAACAAATGGAATACCTGGTTGTCTAGGCTTATGACTAACAGAGCTATGTATTCCTATGCCGATCCGATCCGTCAGACTATAGCCATAATAAGTATTGGGCTTTTAGTTAAAAATAGAAAGTATATTATATATACTAACGAGGTTAGGTCTAGTAATACTATATGGACGCAAGTTTACATATTTTCACCAAAATACCTAAGTGATTATAAATTATTTTGTTTACTGCAACTTATAAATCATTATAGAACTATCACAAGTTATACATACTCACTTTCATATTTCACATCGATAGAACATAAATAAGTAATTATTTTCTACAACTCATTATCATCCCAGTTAAAGTTTTTTACCTTTGACGAGGGCACTGATGACGGGGATCATAGCGAGAAGCTTGGTAATGACGACAATTTTAAGGACCTTGCTATCGTCCCCATCACCAGCGCCCTCGTCATAGGTAAAATTATATATTTATGTTTAAATCCATTGATATTGGTAATACGATTTTATGAAAAGATAAAACTATATAATTAATTTTAGAAAAAAATTGCAAATCTATAAACTTGTAAATACTTTTCAACTTATAGCTCAGTTATTATCAACCGTAACTAAAATTTTCCATTAACAATGTAAAAAAAAACTGTAGATTAACGAACTAGCTGTTGTAACCTTTATCCTTAATTAAAAAAAAAAAAAAATCTAAAACAATAATATTATCACAAACCATAAAACAGTCTCTTAATAAATGTATTTTTATTTTCTAGCCACCAAATCGGGAATTATTAATATTTATTGAACTACTATGTTCCTACTAACACTTTCACGTGTAAAAATTGTTTTCGGAATAATTATAGTCTGCTTACTGGTGCAGAGTTTTTATTATCACGACTACTACAATCTGATGACTACTAGACAACAATGTGTCCCATCAACTAAATTTGAGCCAAAACCTGAGCTAGAACCTCGCGCCGATTTTTCCAATAGTATAACTATGGTAAATAAACAATCAAGTTCTATAAAATATTTTTTAGATATATTTTATTGTTAATTTTACTGTAATAACTCTTCATAATATTATTTTTATTATTATTGTTAAGATACATTGAGCGTGTTCATATCATAAAATGTATTGCAGATTTTTTTGTTGCACGCATATAAAACAATATGTTACATTAAACACATATTATCTTTAAAATATTACTTATCTAATGAAAATATATTAAATTTTTGAAAAAAAAATTCAAATATGTAACTTAGTACCTATCTGTGAACTTTAGAGTTTTTCATTTGAAGCGCAATTCAAATGCGAAATTCGAGAAAAACAAGAATGAGTAATGTTTAAAAAATTCGAAATTAATTTTGATAATTCTTGTATAAATAAAACTTAATTTAGAACGTATTTTAACTATACATATTTATTATTGTTTTCAATTATATAAACTATGTTTGGTAGCTTACCAAACTCTTACTCTTTTCACTATGAATTAATAAAATATATGTTACAGGTCAATAATAAAATTCAAACCAATGCATTGAAAAACAATTACGTTAATCTCTTAAATCTTGCGTTGTGTCCAAAAATACTACCCGTCTTAAGTAATTTTACAATTATATATTTGTTATATAGCTGTAATATAAAATGTAAATTTATTAATTTAATATGATTATTTATACCAAAGAGGTTCAACAAATTGTGATAATTTAATTTGTACGAAAAAATTATGTATAAAAATTAAAGTGGAAATTAAAATAAATACACCATCGTAATTCGTAGGTGTATAAAATTGGTATTACAATGTTAGCAGAAATTTTCCAAATAATAAAATTGTTATCAATCTGTTATAATGTAAAATAATTTTTATACATATGCATAATGTTATAATACCTTGTTCTGTTACTTAAGTCCATTTTCAACATAACACATAAAATGTGAATCTTAAATTAACAAACTATAGGTTTATTTTTTTATATTTTTATAGATGAAACATTCCGTTTGCTTGTACCCACTAAGGAGAAATTGGAAGACGTAGCATTACAGTTATCACAGTTAAGGATTTTAGAAGGAGGTCACCAAATGCCTTTGGACTGCGAAGCGAGACATAAAATTGCAATCTTAGTGCCTTATAAAAACCGATTTTCAAACCTCTGCTCTCTCCTATTAAATTTACATCCATTTTTAACAAAACAAAAACTAGACTACACTATTTTTGTCATAGAACAGTTCAGTGAGTCTTTGACTGAAGAAAGTTTTTATTGATAAAATTTTAAATTATTAAAACCTTATAATCAAAAATTAAGCACTTCACGATAATCTGATATAATTTTTTTTTTGTTCATCAAATAGACGATGGTCCTTTTAACCGGGGCAAGTTACTAAACATTGGGTATACCGAAGCATTAAAGTTTAACAATTATGAATGTTTCTATTTCCACGACGTAGATCTCATACCAATGAATAACAGTAATTTTTATGATTGTTCGGACCGACCAAAACATATGGCAGTAGCTATTGATAAAAAAAAAAGCAGGTAATCGTTAATTAAACACTTTTTTTATAGTTATACAATTATTTTAAACTATTGGTGATATTTTTGAAAATAAACTTCATTATCTTTATCAATGTTTGTTTTAAAATAAATATTTTCACATTGCTTATTTTAAATATATAATATTACATATGTATGCCTAACTTAATATTTTATTAATAATATTTCAAATTTGTTTCTAAGAAATTTGTCATGAAGAAATTAAAAATTAGGCTGTTATAATGAATAATTGTTCTTTTCAAAAATGTACTGCTATAAATATTTCAAGTCTTCAAGTTGTATACAAACTAAACTATATTTTTTAAATAATAATTTATCGATATAATGAGTATACTGAATAAAAACATTTACCGTTAAAATAATTATTCAAAACAGGACTTCATAATTTATCATTTTGTTTATCAAAAGGCTCTTTTAAACTTATTATTAGGAATAATAATTGTTGGTTAAAAAAAGGTTCTTAATAAATATATGATAAACAAAAGCGGTATACTTTCAAAATTCATTGAAATTTTATACCGATCTAAGGATTGTTAATTATAATATATTATGTAGGCTCAACCATACGACTATTTGAGTACTCGTAATAATTAAAGACTTCAGCCAAAGGTATGTGGATGATCAATAGTTAATCATAATTAAATTAAGAAACATAATTCAATTTAAAGAAACCATAATGAAAAAATTCAAAAGACGTTATTATTTTATTATATTAAAACAAACGTATTGAATAGGAAAAATAATAACGACTACGATGTGTTTAGAATGCCGTACAGTGATTACTTTGGTGGAGTGACGAGCATGAATCGAACGCATTTTAAGCTAATCAATGGATTCAGTAACATATTCTGGGGATGGGGTGCCGAAGATGATGATTTGTTTAATCGGGTCAAAGCTCACAAACTAAATTACACCAGATGCCCACATGACTTTGGACATTATCATTCGTTGTCACACGATATACAAGAAAAGAACAAAGAAAGGTAAAACAAAAATAATCATCTATCTAAGTACTTATAAGTTATATCCTATGTTATTAATTTATGTAACAATTATATTATGCAAGTTCAAATTAGGCGATATGGATACAATATGTTTCCACCAAAAGTGTACCATTCCCTTTTCCATCAATGCCTATATCTATCAAACATATAGATAAAATTAACCAATTACACATTTCCACCAAAACAATTTATATACCACCAATTTATTTAATATTATTGTTATTATATTACAATTTTTTTTTATAATTTGCATTTTTTTAAACTATATATCTTTGTATTTTGATAATATGTAAGATATTATTATTTTAGTCTTAAATACATTATGTTATTCTCGGGAAATTCGCGGATTTACTGTACCAATCAAAACTTTTATTAATTATTATAATATTACATTCTGGTGTAACACCTACATAATTATAATTGTAGATGAGAATACTTTTAAATCTTTTATGTAAAGTGGCATAAATGGTAAATAAATAATAGTATTACTTACTAAAAATTATAAAATTTCAATAATTTATCTAAAAATTTAAAAAAAATGAAAATAAGAACTCCAAATATATATATAATATATACCATAATATACCAATCCTCTCTACTTAATGAAAAAAAAACAAACGTAGAATAAATAACATATTTTAATAACCACTAAAAAAAAGGTAGGCAATTGTGTATCACTTTGCTGTACCTACATAAGGTGTCGAGTGTGCTACTATTATTCTCATAAAAAAAACTAATTTAACTTTCTGGTAGAATTTTTTTTTTTTTAAATAGATTTAAAAACTTATAAATAACTTTTAATTTTTAATTTTAAAATCTTATGTATAAACAGAACATTTTTTATTTTTGAGATAACTTAAATTATTCAGTACTTACTGATTAGATTAGTTACACTCTTTTTAAAGATAGATATAACAGTAGATAGTTTATACAAATCGGGTTCTGTAGAATTTAAAAAATTTAAATTAAGAATATGTTTTAATGAGTGAGCTGATATTAATTTATTTACTTTAAATAAGTCAACTATATATTATTCCAACTATACCAGCTAAAGAACTAAATTTAAATTGAGATATTTGTTTAATTATTTCCTGTTTTTCAGTTAAAATCAATTGATTAAAGGCCATGTTATGATATTCAACAATAATAACTTACGTTTATGTTTTGTGCTTGCCTTACAGACAAAAATACCTTGAACTCGGGTATTTACGTTACAATACGGATGGACTTAACAGCCTCAATTACCAGGTAAAAGCACTGAAAAAATTACCACTATTCACATACATCTTGGCGGACCTGGCCGAGAAGCACAGATGATAAAAGGTAATGAAATGGTACTGGTCAAAATTCCACTTAAAAAAGCCTCTCTCTTTCTCTTCTCACACTCTCGTTCCTTCTCTTCCTCACACTCTCACTCTCCTTTTATTCATCGCGTTCTCTCTCTCTATGCCTCTCGATTAATAACATAACATATTTAAAAAAAAAAAAATAATGTATGATACAAAATATGCATAGATTAACAGTACTATATAATATTGTGTTATATGCATTTTTTTCTATTCACAATTTATTTGTGACGTGGTACTTAACCAAAACATTTTGTATAGAAACTAAAACTAAATTTATAAAATGTTGTCTGGTAACATCAGACGAATAAAGATACACAAAAATCAGACGTTATTATTGTAATAATCATTCCTCGATTCGCGGATAATCCACCCTCGACCGGCGTCGATGGACATAGCATTATAGTACAAACATTACTTAATGTAATAATACTATGTATACAGGTACAACAATGTATTAAACACTTATACGTAATAATATTATTATAGCATATGTCCGGTACATTGTATTATTTATAATAAGTATAACGTATAGATATTACCTATAATTCAAAAAAACTGTTCCGCCGCCCGCCGGACAGACTGTGACCACAGCCAAACGGACGTTTGAATAAAATATAATATTAATACTGGGTATTAAATATTTTCTAAAACTTTTCATTCCTTGTCATTTTTAATCTTGTATATGTTATACACTTTACCACATAGAGTGTACAAGATTGCTATTTACGTGTTAAATACGTGTATTATAATGAATTTTATTTGTTAAATTTTCATGAAATAAACTACCTATTTTTTTCACGTTCTAAGTTGTTTGGTTTTTTACGTTATTACCCGACAGCTGAAGTATTGCCTCACGGTCTTATCAGGTGCTGAGTGTATTGCCGATTGAAAAAAATAAAAAATAGTTTACATTATTATAATAAATATATTTAGGTATGTTATATCACTGCTCGGCCACAACTATTGGTTTATAAATTATTATTTATTTTGTCTTACATTTTGTTTTCATTGAAAAATTAATAACATACATAGGTATTTCCATTATATAAATAAGCAATATGTTTCCTTTTAAAGATAACACGAAATATTTCTGCGCAATGACCTCAGATTTATACGAGATTTTCAGGAAGAGATAGCCAACAATAATACAATTTTAATAATCTTTTAACTTTTCATCGAATTGCAAATAATAATGCAACAAATAAAAATAAATATTATTCAACTCTAATTCATTATATTTAGTTTTAATAAATATTCCCATGTTTAAAAAAAATTCATACATTTTTAGTTAGATTATTTTTTTTACATAACTAATGAAAACATACGGACAAATATATATTTTTCTTTTAAGACAAAAATTATTAATTTATAGAAGTATAAATTAAATGTGTATTAATTTTAGAAACATTTATAAATACTGCTAAGTATATTATATTTAAATTAAAGTATTTATTTTAAATCTTAAAAATAGTACTATATCTAAATTTGTAACTGAAACTTTAATATTTTATATCTATTTAGTATTAAAATATCATATTAATACATTTCAACTATACAATAGTCAATAATGATAATACGGCGTTATGGATAGACTTTTTAGATACATGTCTATGTTAAGGTATTATATTATTATTTATTATTATAGTATAGTACTATACCACATTAAATATGTTAATTTATATTATTTGTGTATAAACAACAATTAAGTACAATATTAGATGAGAATAATTAAATAATAAATTATCAATAATTTAAAATTTTGAATGACAAAATTGATATATAATTTAAAATGAATAGTAATCACAATAATTTATCTAAACATTTTTAATTAAAATTTTTACTGTATCTAATTATTATATTTTGTTATGCAATACTTGGCAATAACTAAAAAGATAATGCATGAAAAAATATTTCAAAATTTAAATTTAATTCAATAGGTATTTAACAATATAATTTCAAAATTAATAAGTTAGATTATTATTATGATTACCGCATATTTGTACTGTAATGTGTAAATTATCGTTGTTTTATACCAAACAAAGTAAACTTGTCATAAAATAACAAAAAACTGTAAGCTCAGGGTCACTGACTGAAAATGAATTTATATTTTATTAAATTACATGTAAACTATATATATATATAACAAAATTAACATAATATAATAAAATTTATAAAGTAAAATTGAAAGTTAATTGAAGCTACAAGACAGCCGCGAGTAAATATATATATTATAAATCATGTATATTTTTATTATTAGTAATAATATATCATTATATAGTATATATTTATAAAATCACATTATTAAACATTTTTAGCAACATATTTGATGGTCTTGTTTGAAATGATTCGAGAAATTTGCAAATCCTTCAGGTCTGTAACAAAAGTGAAAATAATCATAATTTCAAACATGAAATATGAACATATGAATAAAATAAAACATGAATTGTTTAACGCGAAATAGTGTGTGACTATCACTTTACTTTATACCCCATATACTAATAGTACGAGATATTATAGTATATTTAGTTTCACCAATAAGCAAATAGATAGTAACTGTGACTAACATGCGACTGTCTATAAATAATGTTTACTCAATTTAGATTTGATTTGCATTTAATTTACAATATTCGCAAATACTCCTTGTATACATGATTTTACAATAAAATAAAATTGAGTAGGTTAGAAAATCGAGTTTATAACAACAATACGTTTTTATAAAAAAAAAAAAAAAATCAAATACCTTATTATTATTTACATTTCCATAACTATAAATCATAATAACATTCTCTGATGTACAATATTAATTTTCTGAAATTTTTAATACAACCAGTTGTTTATTATTTAACTATAATCTAAAACCGTTCAATCGGAAATACATACTTTTTGTTTATGATTTGCCTATAAATAACTTGAAATTTATATAAAAATTTTAAAAATGTCATTGTGTATAGAAAATTATATTATATTAAGTAAAAATGAATTGTTTCAAGTGTCTATGTTCAATATTTTTTTAATAATAACTAAATAATAGAAATAACTTGAACATAAAATATTATTTTGCTTTTGGGTACATAATTTTCATCAAAATTTAAACTTGAACAATCCCTTATCAAAAAATTTTAAATTTTACATTAAAAAATTAATTTTTAATTTTTAATAAATTAACTTATGAGAAATATTTGTGTGTCTAACTTCAAATTTTAAAGCAGTAAACATGCATAGATTTTAAACTTTTCTAATAGAGATACTTATAGGAGATCAAAATTAAAAATCCTTAGTACTTTTCTAAATAACTTAAGAGAAGGAGGAAAAACTAGAATTTTATACAAAACCAGTTTTTGGTAAAATTAACTTTCTTATTTTGATGTGATTTAAAATTTAATAAACTTATTAATACCTAAAATGTCAAATAAATGTTTATATTAGCATTTTCTATACATTGATTTTCGAAATGTCTTAACTTTTTTTGAGCTATATCTAAATAAAACGTAAAATTTTTATTTATTTTTTTTTTTTTTATCTTCATAAATAATTTCAATAATGAAGTAAGTATACACTAATTTCTTGCTTCTTTTTTATTTCGACTTTAAATGCATCAATTTCTTAAACTTGATGATAACTTTATTTTAAATATCTTTTTATCTTTTACTACCGTTGTTTTAATTTATAGTGATATTTTTTTTTTTTGTGTGTGTATGTAGTTTACAGATTTACCAATTACTAATGACTAATAAACTTTAAACTGTATTTTCGTATTGATAATAGCTTATTTATATTAAAATGTGGAACTACCCGATATTCTATATTAAATAACTTTTACTTACTCTTAACTGAATAGTAAGTACACTTTTTTTATTAATTATTTAAAATATATCTTAAAATGTAATTTTCTTCACTATAGAAATACTAAAATCTTACTAGATTTATAACGTACTATTATAATCCTAATATAATGTTTAAAAATTAATAACTTTAGTTTATTTTATGAAATATTTAAGTTAAAAATGTTTATAACAAGCTATATTATGATATATTTTCAATGTGCTGCACTAACTACATAATTTATTAAAATGTATAAACTATTTTTTTATATAACAAATAATAATTTAAAAATGTATTTATATAAGTAATTAATTATTATTAACTATATTTTAATAAACGCACAGTTAATATAGAAAACTGTTATCTGCATATGATAAGAAAAGTATAACCCTCTAATGTAAAAATAATATTATTTTTAAGATCTTTTTACCTTTGGTGTAATAACTCCACATCCAACTTAGAAGATGAATCATCTTCGAATAATACCTGTAAAAATAATAAATCGTTGAACTAATTATTATTTATTGGTACTTATTGAATATACTGAGCACATAAAATACAGATATGGATAATATTTAGTTTAGATAAATAGAATAAAAGAAAAATTTAATTTAAAAAATTTAGGTTTTCCATCACATTTTTATGTTAAAAAACGTTTCTTTAAATTTATAGTAGTAAATAGTGACGCATTTCTGCATATAAATAATAATAATAATCAATAATTTGATCAGATTAAAATATCATATTATGATAAAGTAAATTATCATCTTTACGGCAGAAATAGATATAATATAAATTTTAAACGTGTTGTGTACGTATACATATTAGTAATGTACTAATGAGCAATACTCTTACCCATCTGGATGTATCGTATTGCTGTCTGGGCAGAGGTTCTCCTGATAAGTCGATTAATTTTGCTTCTTTAACCTCTTGTGTCACATCGTCTGTAAAAAATAATCATTGTTATATTTATACTTACTAGGCTAGGGCTTAATCTGCCCTTTAGAATGGTCTTTTTATATTATTATTATTCAATGAGCATCGCACGTGTGTGAAAAGTGAAATTTTTTAGTTCATACACAATGAACTGCGAGACAACGCTTTTGTACATTATATTATGTATGCTTTCGCTTTTCATCCATGTTGCTTATATAAAATTACCACAACATGTTCCGAAATTGTGACTTGTATTACATATTATCATATATCATATACGATAGGCTACATCTACACTTTTATTACTTACACGCTTATTTTATTTTCGGATTTGAATAAAGAAAAATGGGATTCATAGTTGATATATAATATTGGGTATAAATTCTAAAATATATTCGTCAATGCAACTATATTTTACTTTAGAAAATACGAATTTGAAGATAATAATATTATTTTACATCTATATACTATATAACAATACCTTATCGTTATCAACTAATAAATTGTCAAACATGATTTTATACTTTTACGATTTCAATATTTTGTCCATAGTTTATTGTTAAATAATTATTTTAACGTTCAAAAACAAAATTAACGATTATGTACAATGTATCATACACTAAAATTGGATTTTTTATGCCAGATCTTTATATAATTAATTAGTAAACAAAAATAAAATAAAAACAAAATTCAAAACTCAACGTTCCCATCATGGACCGCCGATTGGACAATATTTAAATATAAAATATAAAATATAAACACTGTTTTGTTCAAATTTTGTTGACTCTGTATGGACTCGATTAAATGTAATAAATGGAATAGAATTAGTTCCTGTTGAATGCCAATTTTTCAAAATTCTGATTTCAGAAATTATCTATATCTATATAGTATATATATTCATAAATTAAGTACTTTAAATAACTATCACACATATATATACTCGTATATATAATATTTATACCTAAGTATATTTAAACCTACCGTCAGGTATGGGCATTTTATAAGCTTATGAGTGTTGGCAGCTGAGTTTATTACATATAATCGATCAAAATAAAGTATAATTATTTATGAAAAAATTATACAACTAAATAACGACTGACATATTATAATGTTTGTAGTATTAAATTTACATCATGTTCGATTAATACCCAACTAACTGTTTAACAATGCAATGTAAACATTTTAATAACAATCTATAGCAACGATAAAGGGTAAAATGTATGTTGCGCATGATTACATAATTTTATATTGTTATAATATTTTAAACACGGAAGTTTGTCTTTTAACTTTTTTTTATTTTGAAAAACAATTTCCGTTTTGTCAGCCGTCCGTAATAATGAAGTTTTTTTAAATGCATCATAAAACATATTAATTTGCTTTTATTAAACAATTTTGCATCTTTATATGTAAAGTGAATTTTTTTTTTAAATTACGAAGTTAAAAGTATTTTCTATAAACTGTATTTTTCTAACCCAGTTAACTCGACTACTATAATAATAACAACAATAATAGTGAAATATAATCTTTGACGTACGCATTAAAAAATTAAACACCAAAACACAGACATTAGTTATAACGTTATAAGCGAGAACTAAGCTAGTATTTTAATAATAAATTAAATAAACTATGGATCTCACGTCCGCTAAAGTGTTTAAAGAATATTTTAAATGAATGATGTGCATTATACCTATCATGCATAAAAAAACAAAACTGTGTATCTTTATTTGGATTGATCGAGTGATGTTAGCAATAGAACTATAAAAGTTGTTATCTATTAATTACCAAAAAGTAAAACTAAAATAATATTTTTACGAGAAATCAGAGCATTACGAAGTTCCTATCACCAATAATAATTTATCTTTACCTACTAAATATTTTTACTCAAATAATATTTAAGATAAATATGGGTTGTTTTACATTTTTTATTGTGTAAGCGCTATCGTATTAATTTTATCGATTTACACTGTTCTACAAATATTATAAAAAATTTAAAAATAAAACACTGTTTTTGATTAAAATGTTTGAAAATAGTTATCAAACTATCCAAGTATCAAATAACAAAGAAATTAAATCGAGTTATGCACATTGAGAATCAACAAAATATATATATTCAAATAATAGTGTAATAAAAACCGCTATCGAGTATTAATAACTATAATAATAATATAAATATATATATATATATATATAGATTTAGTTCAATACAAATAACTTTCTAAGTTGATTAATGTTATTGTACAAGTACCTTCAAGTCGAGTACAAAAATAAACTGCTTTAAAGTTTCTATACAAAAATATGTTCTTATCAACAACCTACTGTGTATATAATACCATAATAATGATTTATATTTTTCTTTTGTTCAAACTATAATTAAAAAAAAATAAATAATTTAGTTTCACAAAATCCTTTATAATTATTTTTAACCAGTGTACGTTTAATAAATGAAGACATTTTATCATACATAACAGCATAACAGTATTATGTGTAGATACGTCAGTTACATTGTCAAGGTTCCTCAAATATTTTATCATTGTAAAATGATTGTATTTTTATTTACATGTTCAAGATTTTTATTACGCATTATACATTATTTTATAAAATATAATATATAGCAACACCATAATATAAAATTAACCTTAATCTAATAGTCACGTAACTATATTGTTTTAAATTTTCTCTTTGTAAATCCATGACCGAGTAAGTATTTTTAATTTATTCGATGTAATCAAGTCCATAAATACGTATCAAGCATAAACATATTAATTTTCCAAATAACTACGTTGTCTATACGATATCAAATTACTGGAAGCAAAATCAAATCAAATTTGATGGTTGAAGATCGAAATAAGCTTTCACTCTTCGACAAAATAAAAAACATGTTTAATTATATAATTATTCTCGCTTTTATAAATCTATAAGCATTATTATTGTATACATTAAAATTTAAATAAACCTAATTTTTTTTCCTTGAGTAAAAAACTATTTTTTACAAAAATATATAAAAAGTAAATTCAAGACATGTTTTAATCTAGATGTCTATGGTTATTTATTATACTATTACCTATTACTTTTTTAAGGGAACGCTTTATCCGCTTACACTATCTCTATCTACACACACAAATCTAGGTACTGGATACTTATTACAGTTAATTTCTAGTTGAAATATGAGCAAATTGATAAATTATTTAATTTACAATAGAAAATATAAACTAAGTATAAACAATTTTTTTTTTTTCATATTTTAATTTAAAAATAAGTTAAAAGTACTCATACATTATAACTCATTCTTTCAAGTTCTCATTTTAAAAAAATTATATAAAAAAAATGCTCAGGCCTAGTTTATATTCTCATATAAAAATTCAATAATGTATAAATTTACTTTAATATTAACTTTTCTTTTTAAAAACCCTATACCTACGTAGATTTGCTGTAAGTCAAAGTCAATTTTGCGGTCGTAACGTTATAGCATCCTCAATTCTCAACTCTCAAGTAACATACTATTGTCCAATTAAAATGTTTTAACAAAGAAATATTTTTTGCTACGGATACACATTTATTTTATTCGTGACTAATTATTTTCTTACTGATTTAGCGAAATGGCGTCGTCGCCTATAGCAACCAAAATAACATTTAAAATTGTTTCCATACTGTAATGCATATAAAACCTCATTAGTAAGGAAAGAAAAAAAAGTGAAATAATCTCATACGAGGGAACGGAATTTCCATTTGACGTAACATGTGCGATAATGATTAAAAAATTACAAGACGGTACATTTAACAGACTACCACAAATTGTATTGTATTAAACAGAAACCCAAAATAACATATCCAAGATACAATTTTTTTCACAACTAGAGAAAATACACATATTTATCAATTTTTTCTTCGAATATTGAATCTTTTGAGCACTTATATGTATGACTGTGTAAGTAATGAATATTAACGTATTAAAATCCGACAAATTTAAAAAAAAAATGATAGTTGATTTTTATTATTTTTGAACCACTTAATAGTTTCTGAAAATTAGACAATATTAAACGTTTTAGACGTTTTAAAAACGAACTAACTTGGTAGTCGTACATAATACTTAGATAAGTAAAATATGTATTATAGAGTTAGATAAATGGGAACGGTATAATAGTGTATAATATAGCACTGTAAATTCTAAAACTTATTGATAACGATCCCAAAAATATATACCCAACAATTTGTATGAAACTCCAAAAATATTTTTCTTTTATATGTTCGTAACATCTAGGTTATCTTTACTAATGATTAAATTAAATCCTATATTCCTGCGACTCTACATAATTAACTGACAACCATCAAGTTAACGATCGTTGCCTGTTGGCGTGGTAAGCAGACGCTGTGTTTAATCATTTAAAAATTTAATTGCTAAGATTTCCACAAAAATGATTTACGTAAAAGATAAAACGAAGTCGAAGGAACGTATATATTATATTATTTACCTGGGACGGTGTCTGCAGGAATTACATCTGGTGTTTTCAAGTCGGCCTCTGTTTTCGGTTTGTTAAGCTCCTTCCAGACGTCCGGCACAGAGCTGATCAATTGGCCGATAGTTACGGACATGTTTTGTGCCTATATACGTGGTAAGATAACAGATAACAGATAACAGATAACAGGTATCAAAACAAAAACGGCGACAAGGTCGCATGCAGACTGCAATACACCGACGACCGGATAAACTTGACCTTACCATTTTCCGTTTGGCGCACATGAAAGCGTGACACTCCGACATGGTTAGGCCACTGACTGTGACGAAGGCGAACACATTGCTGTGAGCCGGGTCGGTAAAACAATGAGACACCCTGTGGTCGGCGAAAAAAAACAAAACAAAACTCAACATTGTGTTTGAAATCAAAAAATGCGTTTAGGCACTGCGGGGAGAGAGGGTGGGTCGTGAATAATTTATTTTAGATACAGTTAATAACCTATACAAGATATCTGTTTTTGTTTTTTAATCGTCCGTGGTTAATGAAATTAGATTTTTCGACCGTAAAAATATAATACTTCGGCAAATTTTTCGCTCTGTTGCGGTTTAAGGAAAAACAAATAATCGGCAAACGATAATATACTATATTTTTCAGACGCGTGCAGTTTAATTGATAGCGTACTAATCACCAAGTATAAAGTATAAATCAGTGTTTCTCAACCGGTGTCCGTGGTACATGCGTATAATGTTATTAAATATTGATTTTTAGTTATATGATGTATTAATAATAAAAAATTAAAATTAAAATAAAAATGCCTTTTTTTTTGTTTGCATTTTATTATTTTATTACTATAGTGTTTCGTCAAACTGTATAGTTATAAGTAGAGCGCGGATTTCTATGCCATTGCATATTTTTTTCCTTTTAATATTTTTGGATTTTTGTCAGTTATCTCCACGAATTATCATAATTTGAAGCTAATGGTGAAATTTTTTTTTGCATATTTCTGCATATTTGAAGGTTATTGCATATTTTTGCATATTTTGACAAAATTCAAAATTTATTGCATATTGAAGCGAAAATTTAAAAAAATGTATAGGATAATATTTTGTCAAGTAGAATGATTTAAAATTTATATCTATTCATTTGGCATTTTTAGTGATAAAAATAGTCATAAAAAAAACTGGAAACTCGAAATATGACTTTATATCTAAGCTTTTCAATAATTGACGAAACGAAAGAAAAAATGCATTCTATTCCTGGATTGAAAGGTGTAACACTTACAACAAAATTAAACGAGCTTTCCAATAAAAATGAAGGTCTGAAAATTCTACGAAAAATTAATTCAGTGTTATTAAGTGAAAACGTTCATCTTGAAGATCTTTATCAAGATCCGACAATACTAAGTTGCTTCAAATATGCCCCAATAACTTCGGTTGACGTCAAACGTTCGTTCTCAGTCTTTAAAAATATGTTAATCGATAAATGATACAACTTCACAGAAGAAAAACTTGAAATGCATACGATTATTAATTTTAATAATAAATACAATTTTAAAAATAAATTAAGTTTAGAAATTATTTATTATTAAGTATTTAAGTAATTAATTATTATAAGTTTTATTGTAAATTTTAAATAAATAAAAAATTCTTGTATATTTTTACATATTTTCATAATTTTGACTGCATATTTTCATTATTTTTACTGCATATTATATGCCATATTTCGATACTTTTAAGTGCATAAAAATCCGCGCTTTAGTTATAAGAAATGTGCCGTAAGCATAAAAAGGTTGAGAATCACTGGTAAAAATAGGTATTCAAAGAAAAAAACGCTTATGATTTTTTTCAGAGGAATCGACAAAATATAATAAAGGTGTTAAGTGATCATCTTCGTGTTAGGTAGGCATTGATACTAAGCGTGGCTTGTTATAATTTGTTAATTACCCACAGGTATTTAATTTTTATCAAATACTGAATAAACGAATTTCGTAACGTGTGAATATACTATTTTTAAATAAAATTTTAAATCATAGAGTTACTTTTATTATTAAGACGCTTAACAATAACAGTACTACTGTGGACTCATCGTACTAACAAATTTAAACGTATTTTAACGAATCCAAAATATGAATTTCATGCACAATCAAAACCTGACTAAATGTTTTTATGCTTGATAACTGATAATACACTACTTGTACTTGACTTATAGGATACAAAACCATGTTCACATAATAGTTAATACGATAAGTACAATATATACTATTAGATTATTAAAGTATTAAATATTCTACGAATGCGTTAATGTGTTTTTATGAATTATAACGATTGTAATCACCTTTCTATCTGTGTTTCCAGCACTGTCTTCTTTTCATCACTGGTTTCTATCACTTTGATACCTTGTCCATTTAATGTAACTGTTACATTCTGTGGTTTTCTTTTACTGGCCTTAGCCTAGAATATATAAAAACAAATAAATAAATAGACATACTTTTATTTGAAAATAATTGAGGTTTAATTCAAAATGGAATTGATTGGTCTTTGTATGAACGAGTTACTACGACAAAGCGGTTACTGGTCGAAATATATTTAAACAACATATCTTTTAAAACTGATTTTTTTACTTTTTATACTATCTACTATACTATAAAACCTAATAACCTACCAATTGCAGTAGTCAATAATTTTGCATTTTAGCGTCAAATTTCACAGTCTGTTTTTGGACAAAATCAAGATTATGATGCGTACAATTATAAAAATATAAAACCAACAAAAAATACCTCTATGTTGACTTAAGACTTGATAACTCCAATAAATCTACACCAAAAGAGCTAATCATTATTTACCATTTTATTATGTAATGTCAAAATCTTGAACCCAAATGTGACTAAGTAATTGCGAATTATATAGGAACTATGTATATAAGAACTATTGATGGCCTGAGAATATTATTTTTAAATATGCATAACGTATATAATTTATATGGGAATATAAAGATACTGCGTACACAAATAAGTTATTATAAATCGAAAGTCTAGTTTCGCTCCGATTGAAATAATAATTGACAAAAGATTATTCTAAATTATATTACATATATATACATTCGATATGCTTTTCTTATCCGATTATCCGAAGAAAATACTTCATCCAAAACGCGCATTAACGACAAAATAGTATTTGTTTACATAGGCCAGTCCGTAACACTAATTCGGTGGACTGCAGATTTAATTTTCACAACCGACAAAACATTTTCTGGTTTGACTTCTACATAAACGCTCGCCACATCCGTTGCGCACCGATGCTAATCAATAATGATTACTGGTCTCTTGCGACATTCATTGCAGCAGGTAATAATTTATTCGAACAGTGCTCAGCGCATATTGCTTTAGTTCAAATTATTGACAACGATTTGAAACGGAGTTTGGTATTTGATGTAATACAATATGGCATTGAACAAAATATTTTGATTATCGTGTTCACATAATATATATTGATACACTCGATTTAATTGTAGGCGTTAACATCGCGTCAAATATCCTCAAACAAACCTATCAATATATTTTATGTATATATATGAAAATAATTACAATATTACAAATTATAATCAAGAAAGACAAGTAAAATTTCAATTTAAGTCTAGTCCTTAAAATTTAATTCATAAATGAAAGGTTTGAATTATGTTTCGATGAATATTTAATGTGTACCCAACACAATAAAATTCAAAGATTATTCGTACAAATATCATAAACTAAGGTACGAAACTAGAAATTTTCAAATAATTTTAAACCTCATGTACAAAATGCAATTTATAGCAAAATATGAAAATTTATATGTTACCTTGGAATATTTCAGAGACAATAAAAACTTTTGTAAGTACTCATAATTTGTAGTAAATTTATATTTATATGAAACACTAGACATTCAAGCGTTAAATTTAAACAATTAAACATTTATAATTTTTATAAACACTCTGGTACCACACTATTTTAGTACTATTGTAATACTATCTAAATAATACATGATTTTATTTTCTCAAAACTACCTAAACATATTTATTCAGTTGTGTATTATGAACATTTTTCCTAAAATAATATAGCAAAATTTTATGTCATGATAAAATATAAGTTAAAAAAATTAATTTATACTCATTTAAAACTTTTTTAATAAAAATTATCATATTGAATAACAATTTTATGTCAATAAATCAGGAAAATTGTGTAGAACAAGTATGACTTAGTTTTTCATTACTAATAGGTAAAACATTATTCATATTTTATAAATAATTTGCATTACAAATAAAATTGTTAAATTAAATATTAATTACATTTTTTCATGTTTATTCAGTATCTATATTATTTTGAACAAGTAATATTATTTAATTGTTATTACGTGTAATATAATTTAATAATAATAATTGTATTAAATTTTATTAGATATACCTATACATGGAAATATAGAATACAATAACTGATATTATAAATTGATCGACATTTTCTTTTAATTAGTTTTATAATAGGCTACATCAACTGTAATTTGATTAATTTTGTATTTCAAAACTACTAAAAAAAAAATATCGATGAAAGAACAATACCAATGTAAAAGAAAGAGGTTTTATTATAGACTCAAATATTTTCTATGCAATGGGTTTTTTTTTAAACAATGTTAAATAAAAATATGTAGTATGCCTTTAATTTAAATTCAGCATTTATAACATATAAAATGTTTATCAAGTTCTATGATAAAACAACATATTTGACATGTACTTGGTGAAAATGATTGACAGTATAAAATACAGAGTATATATCGATCTTTAAAAAGAAAAAAATGAATACCACATTTCCTTGTCATAATATTCAATGTCAGTTAATACATATTTTTATTTTTTTTTATAAAATACTTGATAACAAATCAAAAACTGACATTTTAGTAAAATTAAACTACATATTATTTAGTTAAAATATAATATTGAAAAAATATTATTTTCCCGAAAATAAAACTAATGTTAAAAAGTAAATTAAAATACTATTAGAAAGAAACTAAATGGAATAATGATTATAGTTTATTTGTTTATTTATGGTTATTTATTATTTATTTATATCCGATAAGAGTATTGAAACAATACAATTAAACTACAATAAAACAAAACAAAAAAACTACCAAAACAAATTATACCTATCGTGATGATTGATGATAGAGGGTAAAAGTCTACTGTTGGCAATTAACTATTGTTTCTCAAAAAAACTTAAGTACAAAAATACTGACTAGTTAATACTCAATATTGTAACAATTAATATACTTCATCGATTATCTGCGTACAGTGTATAACCATATTTATTGTGAAACCTACGCGAATTAGTAACACATTTTTCGCGTAAACTTGTATGTAGGCATATGTTTGTTCAGCTGTTTTAAATCGACTGAATGTAGTACGTAAGTTTAAAACAAATGAAGCAAAAAAACAATAACAATAGAACTACATAGTAGCTAATACTCGTAACCATAATTTGAAAAACTGTATAGGCTTAGTCCCCCTGCTGAGATAATGTTCATAACAAATAAATTATTTTACTGTCACATAATAATTATTTATAATACATGCAACTTTTAAAATAGATAAGAATTTTTTTTTCGACTTATAATTACTAAAACTTAACCAACCACAACCACAGTTTCTGTAAACTGAATTTATTGAGTATAATATGTTTTTGGGTAATATAAATATAACCACGCCAAAAGGATGGTCGACATGAATGTCAATACAGTGTGCCTATAATATAGTCATCACTCATCAGTCGCCGTTGCTCTCTAATCACCAGTAAAATTTTAAAAATATGTTCAATTTATAATATCGTTAAAATTCGATTTCCAACTATCCCCCTCATAATTCCACGTAGTCTGCATTGCCACAAAATCAAGTAAAATAGAGCATTAATTAAATATAATTTTATGAGTATCACTTCTTCAGATCTGTGTGGATAGGTATCATTTATTAAGCAAATCAAACAAAACTTAATTTATTTACCATAACCAAAATAGTTTTGACCGCTTCGGCGATAGCACCAGCCGTTGAATCTACAGGAGTGTTGCCAAGATATTTAACATCAAACGTTGTTTGGTCGTCTTCAACAGCGATCGCGGTTCCGTCTTCCGCGTTTTGCCCAATCGCCAATGATTTGTCTTCTGAAAGTTCTTAATAACATTTGAAACAAATAATATATTAATAGGTTATCAATAAATAATTATCTTAAATATAAATACATATTTAAGTAGATATTGATATTTGTGTTTTTCATAATAAAGTTTATGAAATAAAAAATAATAATTTAATACTCGCAGTACAAAAGTCGACATAAGCACAAGTAAGTAATAAGTTATAGCAGACTTATAATTATAAAATGAAACAAATTAGATCTTTTTATCCGGTTCTTTCATTAACACAATTAGATACAAGCCGGTAACCTTTATGGAGTAATTTCAAATAATTATTCCAATTAGCTTAAATATCATAATTCTTCTGAAATAATAAACGTTCAATATGTGTGCTGACAAGACACATGGACGCATGATCTCATTCAGTTATATTAACAAATAATGACTTCCAATGAGTCAAAAATATTTTTTTTCGATGTTGATAAACTAAAATGTGTCAATAAACCGTTAAATAAGCACAACAAAACATTATAATAATGATTATATCTTTTATTCATGAGCCACAAACATAGTTTTGTCAATATAACATCATAAATTATTATACCCACGAATAAGGAAGAACATTACAATTATGATAAATATATTTACAAGTTGACAAGCGTTTCTCAACATTTGCATATTCAATTTTGGGTCACAAATAGTTTTGAATAAGTCACCCAAAAAATAATAAAAAAGATAGTGTTAACATTTTTAGATTTTTTTTTGAAAGTTAGAAGTTTAATTTTATTTAAATTCTTAAAAAATATATTTTTTGAAAATATTTTTATGAGGAAAAAATTGGAAAACACGTTATATAGCTAATTTACTCATGGGTATTAACAGGGTAATCTACTAATTACATAAATACTTAATAATATAATTTTGCTTAAGTCTGATAAAAAATGATCTATTAAATTAATGATGAATATTATATTTATGTGGTAAATGGATAATTATGTAAATGATCTCAGCTCAGTATCATAAATCAGTTAATAAAATATTGTAGGAAAAAACTATATAGTATACATTTATTCGATTGTTTGTTCTATTAAAAATAATATCATTAGATATTTATTATTAATATAGATGTTTAAAGAATGCCTAGATTTTGTTTTAATGTTGAACAAAATCGCATTTTCTTAGTTTATTCATCTGCATTGATATTACGAGTAAATGAAGAAAGTAATGGTATAATCTGGTCGAGTGAGATGTTTTGATTGAAAAAAACAAAGATTATGTATGTGTGCAGCATTTACATTTTGAAACGAGTTTTGAGTAATATGCAAAATATATTTAAAGCTTGATATTAAAATGTTGGTGTTTAATTTATAGTAACCTTAAATTATAAAAAATTAAAATTTTGTCGAATAACCTTAACATTGTACTTATATATTATGAAGACACATATTGATTTCATATAATAGATGATAGGTCGTAGACCTCAACTAAAAATTGTTTGCATTTTGTTACATCATTATATAACTTATAAATAGTAAGACCCGAGTGCAAAATCTTACATTCAGTGCTTCCTAATAATTTGCACAGTGCAGGTTAAATATTTGAACAAAACCACGAACAAAATAAACTAGGTATTTGTGCCTTAATTATATACAATTACATGCCAGCAGCTCTCCAAAAATGTTTAAATTGCGTTCATTGTCAGCACAAATAACGTGGTGTATGGATATTATATTATATTAAAACTAATTAAAAATTTTAAAATAATATGGAATAATTTAGTTTTACCAATAAAACTACTAAATATAACTAATATCAGATAATTTTCTATATGCTCTTATTGAATATGTATTACCAATTGTTAATTAGCACGTAGTGAAAAATAAGTACAGTGTAAAATATACGAACTAGTGTAAGCAATTTTACAGTTTTATCTTCATTAAAAATCATTTAGGTTTTTCAATAATTATTTTAAGGTCGGTAACCATGATATCAGAAATTTAAAAATATATACTCCAAAAATCTCAAAAACTAATTCATTGTCATTCATATCAATACATTTGAAATTCATTAAATTATATAGGATGTATTTTTTTTTTTACACAATCTTTAATTGAATCAAATAGATTTCCAAGAAGCTTGCATGGTTTTTAACGTTTATAGCCACTTAAATTATATCACTATATTTATAAATCCAGATGAGTCTTATTAGTAACATTATTCATGAGCATTGCTAATAAAATGCGAATTATTATCCTATACAATATTATTATACTAAGTACTTTCATGTATACGCATGATTTATCTAATTAAACTAATGGTGGTTTTAAAAGTTAGAGATAAGTGAAATAAACAGTACGATTTTAACATCAACCAATATCGAGATTAAAATAATTACGAATTACCCATGTACAAGTGCAATCAATTATATTATGCGCATTTGTATAAAAAAAATAATAAAATCAATAAATTTGTACAGAAGTACAGAATAGTAAAATACTTTTCATGAAAAGTTAATCCTTATTTTAGGGACTACGGTTGTTGTTAAAGCTACGTTGACGTCAATGAAAAACTTATTTTAGATTCAAAGCGTATTTTTAATTATTTCTTTATAGGTAAACAAATTATTAACCTAAGATGTTATTATAATAATAAAAATATTATATAAGCTGTTCAGTATTCCTTATGCAGAAATTCAATTTCTTAGTCGAAATAAATTGTATGTACCTATAAAGGTGTTGAAAATTAATATAGGTATATTAAATATTTATAATGATAATAATTTTTACATTGAATAAAAGTACCTGTAAGACTATGATAAATATTTTAATAAATATTAAATTAACATGCAAATATTAATTCAATTTTTATTTTTTTATTTATGAAAATTATGTGGCTCAATTTAACCTGTATCACAATATTAAAGTTTAATTAAAAATTAAAGTAAAAACAGTGTTTATGTTATAATACATCTAATTTGGCTTAACCAAACATTTTAAATATAAACCTATCTGTAGATGTATAATTTTTATATATTAAACTATAATTATATACCTATTGTTATTTACTGTACATTAAAAATCCATTTACATTTCAATTATGTATAAAATACGTATAAAATATGTGCAATAATATTTTATACGTAAAACTCTATATTTTCTTAGACAACATTCAAGATTACAAATTACATTTTATTCGTGGAAATGAAAACAGAAATAAACTACAAACTACATATTGATATACATTTATTTATATAATATTAGAATGATTTTCTATAAAACTGTTTTTGTGTATTGTTTTTTAGCAACCTTTAGTTGCAAAATACGATTGGTTTTTCCACGCTATAATACAGTCCTGTGCAATTTTTTTAATAAAAATTTCATCACATAAATTAATTTCCTGACATTGTTTGACCCTATAGTAATGTTTATTTATGTCTGTACAATTATCCTGAGTTAGTAGTACTTAGTAATTAAAATTACTAGGTATTCAAAGTGTGTTTTACGTATTTATAGTCCAACCAATCATTATGAAATATAATTATTTACATAACTATAGAAATATTTAATTGTAAAATATCAAACCATAATTTATTAGAAAACTATTTAAAAAAATGTTAATTTTACGTTTGTTATAAAACACCATATTTTAGGGGGAGGGGGGGTATACCGTATAACCTTCTGTAAAATATTGTGTACACAAATATATTGTAATATAAAATGATAAAAACTAATAAATTTAAGATTTTATTATAATAAAAAAATAAAACATTAATTTTTGCTAGGATATAGTATAGCTATAGTATCGTTCTTTAGTCTTGCCTTGCATTATCAAAACATATTGAATAAAAAAAATAGTTTTCGTCAATTTAACAAATGTATTATTTAAATTTTATAAATATAATACTAAAAATATATACAAGCATTATATTATAATAACCTTTTAAATTTTAAATTATTCTATCATTATTTATTTTATTTTAATTACTTTAATATTTACTAGGTTTACATTATTTGATAAAAAAAATATATATATTTTTTTCTATAAATATAGTTGTAAATTATGCAATATCGACAAACGTCATTGTTTTTTCCTGTTTAAGTTAAAAAGATAACAATATATGTTATATTTTGAAGGATATAACTATTTCGCATTATTTACGTACCTACACATTTATTTGCTTATGAAAAATACCAATACATTTTACATACTACGTAAAAATAATATAAATTATATTAAATAATTATTATATGTACAGTTAATTAATATTAATCTATAATCATTTAAAAAATTAACGACATTTTTTAAGAATATATTATTACCTTTAATATATATATTTTAATAACTCAGAAACTTCTAATTCCAGTTTTGATTTAAATTCATAAGCAATATCTATAAAAATTATTCGCTTAGTAATTTACCTATAGAAAAAAGCTAACTTCTTGTTTAAAAAAAAAAAAAATTGATTTCCATAGGATTTTCCATAAAATAATATATGAGTTGAATAAAAAACATGAATTTAAGTAATTGATAATATAGATGATCTTAAACTAAAATTAAAAATAATAAAAATAGAATTTGAATAAATTTATGACTGAGAAAAAATGATTGATCATATTTAGTAAATCACACTATATAACTATTAATTGTTATCGATATTTTTCAATTTATAAGTTCAACAAAAATTTGATCAGTAAATATTATGCATTTAAAAACATTAAAAAAATATAGGCTAGTGATATTCATTTTTATGAAATGCATTCATAATATTAAATGATCATAAACCATAATAATGTCATAAAACATATTAATTGTTTATTTTATATTGTTTAAACAATGCAATTATATAGACATACTTTTATTGCAAATTACAAAGACTTACTGCTATAAAAATTCTGGCCAACTTAAACAAAATAATGATGAGACAGAAAAGTTCTTTACTAGTATAGTGTACAATAAATAAAACGTAATAGTTAAATACCTATTATACAAAACGTTTGAACTTTGTTTTCTACAAAATTCATCCAAGGTAATCTAGTGAT